CTTCCAAAAGTGTACATGGACTTAAAATACTTTTGCAAAAAACTAAACTTATCTTATAATTCTATTTTCTATCAACTTTTGAAGTCCCTGCATATACTTTTAAAATTAACATTATTTTGTAAGGAAAAAAATTTTTTAAATGATTCATATGTACTATTAAAACAGCCTTAATTTTCTACTTCTGCTGCAGCCTCAGACCAAATCTTTTACCCCAGGAATTCTGGTCCCATAACCTGACATTTAATTCTTAAACATTGAAAACAGCTTTCAATCATTCTATGTAATAAGTAATGGTTTCTGTGTGACTCAATAAATACTGAATATAAAAAGCCACTGTTAAATGGTTTCATTCCTTTTCTCAGACTTATCTGCTCACAAGTGGCTAATCCCACAATTGCTCGGTGTCTTCTTCTTTCCAAAACGTGTTAGTGGGAATGGGTTCTGGCCAATGACAAAATGACAGTGAGTTAACTCTTGACCCTGTCCTTGGCTCCTGCTCCTTTTATCCATTTATCTCTTATCTGTGTTTTTCCACGTGATAATTTCCCTGAAATTTAAAATGCCCACCAAAGTAGTGAAATCAAGATGCTTTTAACACTTCTAATCTGACAAGAAATCGTTGTTGGGGGGTCACCGCATGATGCCACACATGCAGTGCTTTTTCCAGACATCTGGCCTAGTCCTCACTATTACCTCTGTGCAGCTGCATATTGAGGTCATCAAGCGGCAAATATACGCTTATGCCCTTTTTGCAATATCGGCAACATCAGGGAATCTACTCTAAAGTTAGCCTGGAATTTGACTGGGATGGTATACAATCATAAAATATGAACAAACAGGCAATTGTTAACATTACAACATTGTTGTACTACCTGAATCGCCTATCTTTTGGCAACTATTTCGATTTGATGCAGTTCAGCTAATGTTTAACATTTATTGAATGCGTACCATTTACCAGATAGTCAGAGTGCAAAGTGAGTAAGTGCCGCTTTTTGAGGTGGCAACATTCTGGCTAGGAAGAGAGCCATCTAAAAGATGAACAGTTAAGGTGCAGCCTGCTGTGTGCTGTTAGGGGTGCAGGGCTGCAGGAGCTGAAAAGGGGCATGGATCAGATGACTTCAGTCAGAGGGCAGTCATCTGAAAACGATCACCTGAACCATCTGAAGCCACACAAAGAACTGACTCCCTAAGAAAGGCGTTTTATTCTTTGATGGTATGATTGTTTCCATTCTCTATGAAGACCAGCAGCGCTTATACTCACTCCCTATCAGATGCCACTGTTTTTCATTCACATTTACTCCTCAAAGGGTTACTCACACAGGAAACTGTTTAGAGACCTTCTTGTTTGCCAAAGTAAGCCCTTTAAAATGTTCATCCACGTCCTCTATGGATCCTCAAAGATAGAGACAAACTCCTTTCTGGGTATGATCCAACCCCGAATGCTAATCTCTAATCTACTCCTGTGCTCAGGCAGACAGTAGATAGTACGAGACAGTAGTTCCTGCAGGCATATTTCTAACATGTTTAAAAACGAGCAAACTGCCAAGGCATAATATTTCCTTAGTCGACACCAATGACACTTTATAATCAAAATTAGCATTTCAACTGAGTTCCATGACCAAGACTCTAAAATGCAGCAGTGTGTATGGTTTCATTTGATTCTCATGCTACACCTCTACACTCTGTTAGATACCAAATATGTTTGCAGGGCCCGGCACAGTAGCCTAATAGCTAAAGTCCTCCCTTTGCACATGCCAGGATCACATATGGGCGCCAGTTCCCAGCTGCTCCACTACCCATCCCACCTCCCTCCTGTGGCCTTGTAACCCTACACCCACATGGGAGACCCGGAAGATGCTCCTGACTCCTGGCTCCTGGTTTTGGAGTGGCTCAGTTGTAGCCGTTATGGCCACTTGCGGAGTAAAGCAGTGGACAGATGATCTTTCTCTCTGTACCCCTTTTCTTGGTGTATTTGCCTTTCCAATAAATAAATAAGTAAATCTCTTTTAAAATATGGTTGGAAAATGTACTATATCTGCGTAATGTGTGATAAAACCCTGGCTGAGCCACTCCAACTCCCGATAGTAAATGAAGAAACCATTGTGTGACTCCAGGTATTTTGAAGAAAAACACAACATAAATGAAGTTGGATTAGACACTCTCTGGATTTTTATCCTCAAGTATTATGAAATCTTCTTTAATGTGTCTATTAGAAATTCTCTACTCTATCATCCCAGCTAGTGAGACTTAAATCCATTGTCAAATCATTTCCAGACATCTTAAACAACATATTCCAGTTTAAGATACCAGAACCATTATCAATGAAACTCTTATAATGAGTCCCAAGTTCTCAGTGGTTATTTGCCATAATTTCTTTTTTTTTTAACATTTAATTCTTTTTATTGGAAAGTCAGATATACAGACAGAAGGAAAGACAGAGAGGAAGATCTTCCATCCACTGATTCACTCCCCAAGTGGCTGCAATGGCCAGAGATAACCTGATCTGAAGCCAGGAACCTGGAGCCTCTTTCAGGTCTCCCACACAGGTACAGGGTCCCAAGTCCCCGGGGTTTTCCTCCACTGCTTTCCCAGGCTACAAGCAGGGAGCAGGATGGGAAGTGGGGCTGCCAGGATTAGAACTGGCACCCATATAGAATTGAGGTGCATGCAAAGCGAGGATTTTAGCCGCTGGACTATCACGCTGTGCCCTGTACCCTCCTGTTCTAGTGTCACAATCATGCCCTGTCATTAATACTGGCATTTGAGTATCTTTTTGCATTTTTAGACCCTAAAGTAGTTTGTTGTTATTATAGCTGAACATGCGAAAAAATAAAATCTAGTTTAGGAACATTTGTTCCAAAATATATTTCAGAGTGAGAAATATCTGAAAAAGACGCATTGTTTTTAAAATATTCCCTATTGAAAAATTATAAATACCATGCTGAAATGAAAATATTTTTTACACTAGGAAACTGACAAGCTGTCAGTAATGCTAACATGTATGTGCACACATTATAAATAAAATATGCACATACCATACATGTGTATCTGTGAAGATGATTAGACTAACTTGTCAAACCATTGCTGCAACAAAAAACACTCTATCAAAAGAATCACTACAGTCAAAAGAGAAGAAAGAACTGGGAAGCACACAAAGACAGACCAGTGTCAAAGCAGAAAGCAGAGCAAATCAGAAGACAATTTTGGTAATAACTTACACAGAGCACCAGGGCCCACTCAAGAAATGTTTTTAATATAAAACAAAACTGAGAAACTGGTTAGGCTATCAAAGGGCAGAAGAATCCATGTGAGAAAACATAAATTAGAATTGTAGAGAAAAAGAAATTCTTAAGGCTATGAGTATATATACATGACTCTTATTTGTGTGTGCTATATATATGTGTGTGTATGTGTACACATACACATATATTTGTTGTTATTTTTGTACATATGTTCACACACACAAACACATAAAAGCATAAAATGTCATTTTTATTGTGTCACTGAAGTTTGCTGCAACCCAAGTAAGACGTATAGGAACTGAATAGGAAAAAGAAAGCAATCAGAAGATTATTTCTTTATCACTGATTGCTTTCTCACTCAAATCATGAAAGATCTAAAAAACCAAACAAAAGCCAAAATGAGCAAGCAGAAGGGCAGTTATGGGAAAAGATAGCTTTGTGTACTAACCCCTTATGCAGAAGCTATTTCTGAAATCTGATTTTACCATTATGAAGGGGCATAATATATCACAAAGAAATTCTGATCTAGTCAGTGTAAGAATTTGCAATGGGCTTCGACACATTCTGGAATGGCTGAGATAAGCTAAAATGAATCTCTATCCTTTACAGGTGATACTAGAGAGCATCTGTCCACCAGCAGTCTCCAGATGCCTCACCTATCTGAAATGCTAGGACTGTACAGTGCACACATCTGGCCCTTTCCACACTTCCAGGTTACATGAAATATATTAGAAAACTCTACAGTTTGTATATTATAATAACCTTAATACTCTTAAAAACCTGATCTACAATTTATTTTATCTGATATCTATGAGGAAAGCAGATTTATCCCACAGTAAGGTACCAATTGAACTTGTAGCATATGGTAACAAAGCAAGAAATTAAAAATATAACAATTTATTCTAAGTGGTTATTTTCAGAATTAAGAGTGGGAATAGTTTCAACAGCAAAAATCATGAAGCAAATCCCAAGCTTTCTGGTAAATAGCATCAGAAGTTCAGATTAAACTTGGAAAGTCATCCTAAGGTTAGATAAGGCTCTACAATGACAGATATGTGTGCATCTATTAGTTTGAGATACCTAACAAAAAGTTAAACTAGGATGGAGAACACTAGTGGATTTACTGATAACTCAATCAATTAAAAAATTTATTGAGCGAATATATTTTCTTAAACTGTCATTGGTTCATCTTTGGAATGAAATGGCAATGTTTCCATACAACAGCAGCATTGTTTTATTGGTTTAATTTAATTGATTGCCTACTTTGACGAAAGTCACTACTTCATTCCCTTTGTTAGCATAAGTTTTCTAGTGGTGATGATTTCCTAGAGAACTTCTATTCACTTGATTCATGTTAATCTAAGCATGGAAACCTGCAGTTGTGCTATCTGAGGCACAACAATGGAATTTCTGTTCATGGAAAGCAAAATCAATAATACTTACTAAAACTAGTTGTCTAACTATTCATTAATTAATTATATAGCTCTTCAAATACTACACTTATCAATCAAATGCCATCTTCAGGCTATTCTGTTGATCTACAGAGTGGCCTCTAGGTATTACAGGAAAGCTCACTCAACAGGAATGTCTTCCAGGGAGTTAAAGAATCCACAGACATAACAATTTTGGGCACAGTGTGCCCTAGTTGCTTTTTACAGTAGCATTATCTACCAACTGATATTCAATCCCACCTCTTCCAGAAATCAACAATGACTTTAATATTTCAATAAAATGACCAATGTGCTCAGCAAACCTTACTTCTGGTAGTGGACTGGCCGGTTTGGTTAGGATTCCTCCTACGTAAACAACATTAGGCAGAGTGGGTCTTGGAAACTCCAGGGCTACATCAGTACACAGCATCCACAGACTGGACCCATGAACCAAGTCGTACATGGACTTCTCCGGCTGCAGGTTGTATTTCTGCATTATCCTTTCATATTTGGGAAGAACCAGAAAGCTGACCCCTATTCTGGAAATGAGGTAAACGCCGGTGTTTTTTATCCTTTGCAGCAAGTTCATGCGATCTGTGAGGAGTGAGTTAAACTCAGGAACGTAAGCTAACGGAGCAGGAGCACCCACTTCGGCAGGATACCAAAGGCCAGTGGAAAACACAGCATATTTAACGCCTAAAAGATGAGCAATCACAAATCCACACATATCATTAGGGTCCACCAGCAGCAGGTCAAACTTTTCTTTTTTCAGATCCTCAATGAGGGCATGGTTGCCAACCATCATGTCACAGTTCTTGGTGTAGTGATCCAGTATGTCAAACAGTTCAATAGCTGTCAATCTCCCAGAGAAAATATTCCGCATTTTGGACTGCAGGAAAGCGTCAGAGGTGGTGCTGTTAAAAATCCCTGGATAACGTTGGAGGCTGTAATGATTAGAGTGGGCGATGTCTCTGCCTTCAGAGAGAAGGAACACTGTATGGTGGCCTCTCTCGTGCAAGGCCGAAGCCAGTGTCTTGAAAATGTACATATGGCTTTCAAACATAATTGGCGGCACAATGATGATTTTGGCAGCCTTCACAATCCCAACAGCACTCCATAGGAGCATGAAATATGGAGTGTAGGACTTCATAGCTGTAACAACAACGAGAAAACAACTTAGATTCAATACAATGTTTACCATTCAGAGCAACCCCCTACCCTTTCTCTAAAATATCAGATGATCCAATACATCAAGGAATGACTTTTTAAAATTACACTAGTATGTATTCAAATAAGTTCTGTATTCTTGAACACTAATTTAAGTGAAAGATTGGCGGGAAAATTAATAAATTGAAATACACTTAAAAATGGGTCAAGTTAGAAGATATAATTATATCAGTAAATTAAAATTTGAAATAAAGCTTATATAACATTGAATGATTAACGATGTCTCCCTTTTGAATAATATCTATGAAATAAGTGTTTAATTTCTAACTAACCGATATGGTTAATCCCAAGAACAAAAGAAGAGACTTTATTTCCAGGTGTATAATTACATCATCAGATGTGCACATCATTTCACTTCAATAGCAATATTTCTAGTTTTAACCAAAAAAAACCAAAAAAAAATTCCTAGTTCACTCTCCCAGTTCCTGTAATAGTCAAGCCACAGCAGAGGCAGCAGCAGCAGGCTCAACTCAAATTTCTATTACAGTGTCAAAACCCAACTCCCAGAGCCATCACCAATACCTTACAGGTAAGCAGGAGCAGGAAGCCGAAGTCAAGAGTTGAACCTCAGCACTCTGACATGGGACACAAGCTAGACCAAATGTACCCTATAGCATTGCTTTTAAGATCTTTCATAATTCAGAGTTTTACTCATAAATTAAAATACACCTACAAAACTTGCAAGCAAAATGTTAACATTTACAAGGCTTGCGTTCATTAAAACATCCAAATAAGCACTCAAACCAACACTCAGATATGGGATGCCAGTACATCAAGCTGTGTCTTAATCTGCAAATACCAACAAAAAGACAGTGGCTGCTATTTTCTTTCACAATTTACTTTACTTATTTTTAATTGAAAGGCAAATTTACAAAGAGTTAGGGAGGAAAAGAAAGATGTTTCATCTTCTGGTTCACTCTCCAAATGGTTGCAATGGCCAGAGCTGAGCTGATCCAAAACCAAAAATCAGGAGACTCCTCTAGGTCTTCCACATGGGAGCAAGGGTCCAAGGCCTTAGGCTGTCCTCTGTTGCTTTCCCAGGCCATTAGCAGGAAGCTGGGTCACAAGTGGAGCAGCCATGACAGAAACCAGCACCCATATAGGATGTCGGCATGACAGGCAGAAGTTTAGCCTACTATGTTATGGTACCAGCATCTATGATGGCCTTTTTTTTTTTTTGTCACTAAATTTATAATAGTATTCATTTACATTTTAATGAAACTTTCTTGAGACTTTTTCTTAAATCAGAGTTATAGAGAGAAGGGAAATGAAAGAGTGATATTCCATTCACTGTTTCCCCAAATAGCCACAAAGGCAAGAACTGACCTAATCTGAAGCCAGGATCCAGAAGCTTCTTCTGAGTCTCCCATGCGGGTGCAGAGGCCTAAGCACTTGGGCCATCTTCTGCTGCTTTCCCAGGGAGCCAGATTAGAAGCACATCAGCTAGGACAAGAACTACCACCCATATACAAGGCTCCTACTGTAGATAGAAACTTAGCCTACTATGCCATGGTATCATTACTGAGACTTTTCACAGATCATAACCGGCTTTTAAATTTTAGCAACTCTTTTTTTTAAGTCTACACACTGAGAAGAACATAGAAAGAGCTATAAAGGGAAGTCTTATCATAGTAATTACCCAAAGAATCATTATTTTCACATTTTAAATAACTTACTGTGTAAGAAAGACTATCAAATTGCACCAAAAAAGGGCAGGGGGATGTAGGCTGACACACTGGCTCAAGTGCCTGCAGCCCATGTGGGCGTTAACTCATATCCGTCATGCTATACTTTCCATCTAGCTTTCTTTGAGCAGCCTAGGAAAGTAGAGGAGGACAGACCATATGTTTGGGCTTCTGCACCTGCATGGGAGTCCCAAATAAACTCTTGGCTTTGGGTTCAGATTGGCTCAGCTCTGGCCTTTGTAACTATTGGGGAGTGAATCAGTGATGAAAGATTTTTGTCTCTGTCTCTCCTTTCTTTAAGTCTGCTTTTCCAATAAAAATAAAATATAAATAAAACTTAAACTGACTATAAAATAGATGACACCCCCTCATCCAATCCATCTACCCACATATATCACTCCCCACCAAAACCCACAAATACCCACCACCCCCCACCCCCCACACTCACCCCCCCACCCCACCCCCCCCCCCCCACCCCCACCCCCCCCCCCCCCACCCCCCCCCCCCACCCCCACCCCCCCCCCCCCACCCCCCCCCCACCCCCCCCCCCCCCCCCCCCCACCCCCCCCCCCACCCCCCCCACCCCCCCCACCCCACCCACCCCCCCCACCCCCCCCCCCCCCCCCCACCCCACCCCCCACCCCCCACCCCCACCCCCCCCCACCCCACCCCCCCCCCACCCCCCCCACCCCCCCCCACCCCTTCCCCCCCCCCACCCCCCACCCACCACCCACCCCCCCCCCCCCACCCACCCCACCCCCACCCCCCCCCCCCGCTCTGCTCCGGATTCTAGCATCCTGCTTGTGTAGACCTTGGGAGGCAGCTGTTGATGGCTCAAGCAGCTGGGTCTCTACCACTTTCATTGTCTACCTAGGCTAAGTTCTTATCTCCAAGCTTCAACTTGGCTCAGCCCTTGCTGCTGTGGGCACCTGAGGAATTAATCAGCCTTCTGACTTTTGACCTGGCTGTGTCTAAACCAAGATAATGCTTTTAAAGAAGTTGAGATCTTATCTCAAATCAGGAGAAAAAGTACATTTCAGATAAGGTACAATGTTACAAGAAAAATAAAGAAATAAAGCTATAAGAAAAAAAACATTCTTGCAAATGTTAATGCTGAAAGAGAGAAGAACATTCTAAAGCAAAATCTCAAACAAGATCTAAAAATAAAAACTGACTTAATGGAATACATAAAAAAATATGTATGTATCATGAAAATAGGAAGACCAAGTGGGACAAGATAATTTGCAAATTTGTATCTGATAAAGGATTCTTACCTGAAATAACCCAAAACCTCTCAAAACTCATCAGTTAGAAGACACATAATATTTAATTGGGTAAAATATCTGAGCAGGCAAAGAAGCATTTGAGATGTTCCATATCAGTGCCATCACTGGCTGGAAATTCAAACAGACACCATAACACACCCATTAGAATGGCCAAATGCCCAAAGTTCAGAACACCAACTGCTGTGGACAGCATGAAGTTACAGAATTATTCATCCTTTATGGGAATGAAAAACAGTACAGCCAGTAAGGAAGATATCATGGCTATGACAATTTCATACAAAACTAAATATACTCCTTCCACATGATCCTACTTTCATGCTCCACATCTATAAAAGTTTGCACATAGATGTTTACAGCAACTTCATGCCTTATTGCCAAAAGGTAGAAATAGCAAAGATGACCACCAGTACTTAAGTGGATAAGCTGTGGAACACCCAGAGCATGGGAAAATATTCAACATTATGAATTAGCAAATATGAGCAACCAAGAAGGAAACTTAAATGATTAATAAGTCAAAGAATCAAATCTGAGAAGACTATCTCCTATGTGATTTACTATATGACATTCTGAACACGGCAAAATGTTGACAATAAGAAGATACTGGTTACTACAGAGTGGGATTAAGCCAGCAAGGAATAAGCACAACCCAGAATGTTTAGGGCAGAGTAATAACTCTCTAAGATACTGCAATGTTCAAAACATGACATCACATGTTTGTCAAAGCCTATGCACAACACCAGGAGTCAACTGTAAACACAGAATGTGGGTGGTGTGCAAGCACAAGCTCATTGACTGCAATCAACACACCACTGTGATTCAAGATGACCACAGTGTAGGTGGTTGTTCATGTGAGGGAAGAGATCTATGGGAAATCTGTGCTTTTGGCTCCATTTTGCTGAGAACCTAAAACTGCTCTAAAAAATAAGATTTATTGATTTTCAGAAAAATCTTTTATGAGTAAGCAATCCATAGCAGTTATCTTAGAGTTTAAAAGTCTCTTGTTATATAATTTATTGTAATAAATATCTTAAATATTAATATAAGTATGCTATTACAATATTCTTTATAGTTAAAGAAATCTTAAGTCTGGTGCTATGATAGTGAGTAAAGCCACCTCCCATGGTATCAGTATCCCAAATGGACAAGGATTCAAGTCCCAGTTGCTCTACTTCCAACCCGTCACCCTGATAAAATGCCGAGCAAAACAGCAGAATATGGAATGAATGATAGGACCCCTGCACCCACATGGCAGACCTGGAAGAAGCCCCTGGCTCATGGCTTTTGACCAGTCTAGCTCCAGCCACTGCAGCCATTTGAGAAGTGAATCAGTGGATGGAAGATCTCTGTCTCTCTCTCTCTGTCCCTCCCTCACCCCAATCCTCTGATCTCCCCTTTTTGTAATCCTATCTTCTAAATAAATAATAAATCTTTAAAAATAAATCTGTAAGAAAATCTTTTTTATATAAAAGATGTTTTTGGTTTTTTTTTTTTGAAAGGTAGATTTACAGAGAAGAGACAGAGAGAACGATCTTCCAATTGTTGATTCACTCTCCAAGAGCCTATAACACTGGAGCTGAGCAGATCTAAAGCCAGGAACTTGCAGCTTCTTTCTGAGTGTTCCACATGTGTGTAGGGACCCAATGATTTGAGTCATCCTCCACTGCTCTCTCAGGCCATAAACCAGGGGCTGAATTGGAAATAGAACAGCCATTTAGGATATCAGTGCCACTGGCGAAGGATTAGCCTGCTAAGTCATGGTGCCAGCCCAGAAATCACTCTGTCAATGATCCCTTACCCGACGTGAGCAAAACTCTGGAATTGCACTGATGCTCGAGTGCAAAAGAGTACACCAATTTTCTAAATCAAGAGGATAAGCTACTTGAGGAAAAACTAGATAACTCAGGGTTAAATCCACCTAACGTAGCATATTGTAGGCACTAATGTAGCATATTAT